ACGCTCTTAAGGCTTATTGGGGTTAATAGACAATGCAGACGCGAGGCAGGGCGGTATCAGGTCACATTTACGATGAGCATTTCAGCAGATGTTACAAGGAATAACATTCACACAGCTTTGTCAAAGTGGATAATTGTCAAAGTGCTGGATGGAATTCTCCATTCTGGATGAAACAAATACGAGTAGCTGGACTGGTGAGGGCCAGGACCAGTTCTTGTATTTGGCTTCACCTCGGGGTGTCAGTGTCGACATAAAAATCATACAAGCCGCATTTGCCTTCACACTGGTACAGATCGAGCTCACTCAGGGGGTGTTAATGTCATTTCGCAGCTCTAAACGGCTTTGCAGTTTGGGTGGTGGGGCATTTCAATCTCAACAGTAGGTTTAGTAGTAACCTCACCTGCCAGAACTTCCATACGAGTCCTGTTCCAGACCCACATTTAGTATAAAGTTATGAATAGGCCCCCCCCAAGTACCAGAGAGCCCTACTCTGCTCAAATGGCCAGAACTTCCATACGAGTCCTGTTCCAGACCCACATTTAGTATAAGGTTATGAATAGCCCTCCCTCCCCCCAAGTACCAGAGAGCCCTAACTCTGCTCAAATGGTGGGCCTGCCCTGCCCCGCCCTGGGTATATCTCCAATGTGACCATTCACACAACATACAACACAACAGGTTCAGGTCACAAAAGCAAGCACACCAGGATAAGTATCCTGGTCTTCCATAAAGTGCGGTTCTTTGCAGTCGAGTCCAATTAAATTAAAAAATTGCAGTCACATGGCCGAAAACAGAGCGCCTCAGGCTGGTGTCTTAATGGGACCACAGTCGGCACTCTACAGAACAGCATTCAGGACACAGCTTTTCCTGTATTTGGATATGTATATAGCGTGGCTTTCCATTATTTTAACTAGTACACAATATCTTTTACCTGAAAAAGAAAGCCAAAAAAATCCCAAATAAAAAGGGACAATTAGGGGGCATTCTGGCACCACAACATGTTCAGGATAGTCAAGGAGATTATGTAACCATCAGAAGTCATTTAAAACCTAATGAACCTAAGACCACCAAGAAAACCATCTCAATTTCACCTTCTCCATTGACTTCAATGTATTTCACCAAACTGATGACATTCTAATTGAAATGTCCACCTTACCAGTATAAAGTCATGATGTACATGCCGTTACTTGAGGAGGACGTTCGTCCTACAATTACTCTTTGAACATTTAACAGCCATATAACTCATGTACATTGATAAATCCGTAGCACCATGGTTGACTTCTGTCCACTCTCTGGTTGTCCAGCAATCAGCACTAGAAACTGCCAGCCATTTGCCAGCGACACCAAACCCCCTCCATGCTATCTAGGTCTTATGATTGCAAAGACTGACTGGGAAATGCTTCCTCTGGGCCTTGATGCTGATAAAGACTTAAACAGCATGAGGCGGGCTGAGCGTCACCATGAGTTGCATATAGTGAAGAATGTTCCCAGCACACCGTGGTTCAATCTTCAAGCAGTGATCATTTCATTGACGCACACACATCTTGTCACATTGCAACGTTTTGGGGCCACTCCCTTCCATCAGGCATAACTATGAAGGGCCCCCGAGTGGCCACAAAACGTTGCAATGTGACAAGATGTGTGTGCGTCAATGAAATAATCACTGCTTGAAGAAGATTGAACCACGGTGTGCTGGTGACATACTTTACTATTTGGATCTGAAGCGGCGCCATCCGCAGTCACTACAGCACCCACCACAAGGGCTATACCAATAAGGAGTGCAGTAGGACTCCTCTGCACCACAAGTTGCATGGCACCCCTGGTAAATGTCCTGCAGTTTCCAGTGCTGATGGCCGGACAAGCGGAGTGCAGATAGAAGTCAAACATGGTGCTATGCATTTATTACAGTATAGGTGTTAGTGTTTATATAGAGCAATTCTAGGGTGAACTTCCACTTTACTATAATCAAAACAAGGCCTTCAACTCAAGGTGATGCAGTACATCCTACAATCCTACTGCTAAAAATAATTCACCAGCTACAGGACCAATAAAGGCTTGTAGAACACATACCTGCTATGTACTGTATGTGTTGTTCCCTTGCTACTAAAAACACTGCAAATCTTGAGTCACTGGCAAGAGAGACTCATACAAGCAGGCAATGGTTTCACTCCCTGCTGGGTCCTCCAAAGCCAACCTGCCAGCACAGGATCACCAGTGTGACCTGACCCAAAGGCTTAGCAAAGACCTATTTCAATATATTAGGCAAATTCCTCTTGGCTTGCTCAGTGACTGCAGGTAAGAGACCTATGCTCTGCCTACAATACTGTATCAATCTGGTAAGAGGTCCAAGGAACCTTTTAGAGCTTCACCAACTGGATGAGTATTTGCCAGCTAATCTTCAGATCTTTGCAGATATCATAGACCGGCCAACCCATTCAACATCAACCAGCTGCTTCCGATTGCAGCTGCCAACTGGAGGAACAGGCTGACCAGTCCCAGCAAAGCAATCTATGAAGTCAACTTCGTGACTCGAGGAATAAATCTATCCACTTCTTGTGTTCTGCTCTTCTACCTCTGTGTGGGGTGACTTTCTTTCACAAAGAATAAGCAATGATTGGAAGATCAGATGGTCCATCTGACATCTAATACAAAGCAATTTTAAAAGCCGTCATTTTTAATTTGCAGGAAGTGAGGTTGATTGGAGCAGGACCAAAGAAATTGACAACCGCAATGGAGCCATGGAGTGATGATGCAAATCTACAGCTTCAATTTGACAAAGTTATTGATGACCTTACTCATTGCCAGCAGTTCAAAGAGACATTCTTCATACCATCTCCTGTACTACCTACAATAAGATCCTGCACCACCCACACAGCTCATTGGAATTCCACAATGTACTCTTCAGGAATTTCTGTATCAGCTATGCCAGATTTACCTCGATTTAGTAAGCTGTCCCGGTATCGTCCCTCTAGAGTACAGTTCCATCGCTCGAAGTGGAATTGATACTCGCACTCTTGAGCGCTCATGCTAATCGCCTCCAAGAGGGTCTCCGCTACCCCGGGGTCTCTCCGGCACATCCTGCGTTGCTTGCGCTCAAGCTTGAGGCGGTCACAGATTTTGTAGTGGGCTTTCTCTGCCGCTCCCTCCGGTTCTGAGGTCAGAGAGAGAATTGTCAAAGGTTCATTCCCTGTCAGCCTGAAAGAGAAGAAACAAAAAATAGGTTTAGAAGCGACACTGACAATCAGTTCAATGCAAGACAAAAAGTTATTTAGAAGTTCGATCAAAACACAACAAATATCTCTTGTTTTGTTACTTATTATTACGGCGTCTATAGACAAAAAAAATTTTAAGCTTTTGATAGAGTGGGAACAATAGCTCTCCATGTTGGTCCTGGGGACAACTTGTCAATGGGACAGAAGATGAGGAATGTCCAAGAGGGATTTGATCTCAAAAGGATCACACTAAATTCTGTGGGGTCAGTTTTAGATTGACTGGGACGGACCATAAAAATGCGGGCCACACTGTACATACAGTCAGCTTACAATACAGTGATATCCGCTCCTGTTATACATCGGCCTCCAGGGGGAAGGCTGAAGCCCCCCCCAACTGCTTTTTTGCTGTAGGTGATCTTCTGCCCCTATGTTAGGGCTGGTCAGGTATTGAGGACAATCTGGCAATTAAGCTGAAGACCACTACGATGCAATGCGGTAAACCAACCCACCTGACCCTTCAGCGGCCTACAGCACTGTGAATTCACTCGTCGTAATGTACTGCATGGGCAAAAACGTGCATAGATTCACATTAAGGGCCATTATAAAATGCATGCATTGATGCTCCAAAAACATGTCAACATGCATGTGCTTTTATAACATTTACAATTCTAACCATGCCAATTTTATGTTATTTTTTACACTGGGATGTTAGAAACCAGAGAGACCAAACAAAATCTAACCACAGTGGTATATGGACCATCCAAGTGATATATTTAATGCAAGCCGGCCAAACACCAACTTGATACATAACCAAAACATAAAAGGGGCAAAGAAAATATAAATTAAACATCTAAACGGACACAAGAAAATACAAGTCATTGGGCATATTGCCCAATGACTTAACAGAACCAACCGTATACTTTCCATCTCCATTCTTCTAAGCAGCATGCACTTGTTAGCAACTTTGATACTCAAGTCCTCCACCCCAACACCATAAAAGTTTCTAAACCTACAAAAGCCACTCTTGGACCAACAAAAACAGATTTACTTCTCACGCATGGGAGATACCATGATCAAGAAGGAATTTTTGCCATTATCACAAAAACCATGCTACAGTGTTACAGTTGCCAGTCCAAAAATATGTGAGAAGGCAAACACTGATGGCTCAATTACAGTGAGTGATGGAACAAAAAAACATTTCTTTGGGACATACAGGTGAAACTCGAATAATTAGAATATCGTGCAAAGTTCATTTATTTCACTAATGCAACTTAAAAGGTGAAACTAATATATGAGAGAGACTCATTACATGCAAAGCAAGATAATTCAAGCCGTGGTTTGTCATAATTGTGATGATTATGGCTTACAGCTCATGAAACCCCCAAAAACCCCAAATCCACAACCTCAAAAAAGTAGATTATTACATGCAATCTATAAAACAAGGATTGTACATGGAACAATATCGGACCTCTGAAAAGTACAAGCATGCATATGTACTCAGTAATTGGTTTGGGCCCCTTTTGCAGCACTTACTGCAATTACTTTTGCACGATATTCTAATTATTCGAGTTTCACCTGTAAGATACAGGTCATTTCATTTATCAAGAGGTTTCAAATAGGGCTGCATGAATCTACATATTGATGACCTTACTCATTGCCAGCAGTTCAAAGAGACATTCTTCATACCATCTCCTGTACTACCTACAATAAGATCCTGCACCACCCACACAGCTCATTGGAATTCCACAATGTACTCTTCAGGAATTTCTGTATCAGCTATGCCAGATTTACCTCGATTTAGTAAGCTGTCCCGGTATCGTCCCTCTAGAGTACAGTTCCATCGCTCGAAGTGGAATTGATACTCGCACTCTTGAGCGCTCATGCTAATCGCCTCCAAGAGGGTCTCCGCTACCCCGGGGTCTCTCCGGCACATCCTGCGTTGCTTGCGCTCAAGCTTGAGGCGGTCACAGATTTTGTAGTGGGCTTTCTCTGCCGCTCCCTCCGGTTCTGAGGTCAGAGAGAGAATTGTCAAAGGTTCATTCCCTGTCAGCCTGAAAGAGAAGAAACAAAAAATAGGTTTAGAAGCGACACTGACAATCAGTTCAATGCAAGACAAAAAGTTATTTAGAAGTTCGATCAAAACACAACAAATATCTCTTGTTTTGTTACTTATTATTACGGCGTCTATAGACAAAAAAAATTTTAAGCTTTTGATAGAGTGGGAACAATAGCTCTCCATGTTGGTCCTGGGGACAACTTGTCAATGGGACAGAAGATGAGGAATGTCCAAGAGGGATTTGATCTCAAAAGGATCACACTAAATTCTGTGGGGTCAGTTTTAGATTGACTGGGACGGACCATAAAAATGCGGGCCACACTGTACATACAGTCAGCTTACAATACAGTGATATCCGCTCCTGTTATACATCGGCCTCCAGGGGGAAGGCTGAAGCCCCCCCCAACTGCTTTTTTGCTGTAGGTGATCTTCTGCCCCTATGTTAGGGCTGGTCAGGTATTGAGGACAATCTGGCAATTAAGCTGAAGACCACTACGATGCAATGCGGTAAACCAACCCACCTGACCCTTCAGCGGCCTACAGCACTGTGAATTCACTCGTCGTAATGTACTGCATGGGCAAAAACGTGCATAGATTCACATTAAGGGCCATTATAAAATGCATGCATTGATGCTCCAAAAACATGTCAACATGCATGTGCTTTTATAACATTTACAATTCTAACCATGCCAATTTTATGTTATTTTTTACACTGGGATGTTAGAAACCAGAGAGACCAAACAAAATCTAACCACAGTGGTATATGGACCATCCAAGTGATATATTTAATGCAAGCCGGCCAAACACCAACTTGATACATAACCAAAACATAAAAGGGGCAAAGAAAATATAAATTAAACATCTAAACGGACACAAGAAAATACAAGTCATTGGGCATATTGCCCAATGACTTAACAGAACCAACCGTATACTTTCCATCTCCATTCTTCTAAGCAGCATGCACTTGTTAGCAACTTTGATACTCAAGTCCTCCACCCCAACACCATAAAAGTTTCTAAACCTACAAAAGCCACTCTTGGACCAACAAAAACAGATTTACTTCTCACGCATGGGAGATACCATGATCAAGAAGGAATTTTTGCCATTATCACAAAAACCATGCTACAGTGTTACAGTTGCCAGTCCAAAAATATGTGAGAAGGCAAACACTGATGGCTCAATTACAGTGAGTGATGGAACAAAAAAACATTTCTTTGGGACATACAGGTGAAACTCGAATAATTAGAATATCGTGCAAAGTTCATTTATTTCACTAATGCAACTTAAAAGGTGAAACTAATATATGAGAGAGACTCATTACATGCAAAGCAAGATAATTCAAGCCGTGGTTTGTCATAATTGTGATGATTATGGCTTACAGCTCATGAAACCCCCAAAAACCCCAAATCCACAACCTCAAAAAAGTAGATTATTACATGCAATCTATAAAACAAGGATTGTACATGGAACAATATCGGACCTCTGAAAAGTACAAGCATGCATATGTACTCAGTAATTGGTTTGGGCCCCTTTTGCAGCACTTACTGCAATTACTTTTGCACGATATTCTAATTATTCGAGTTTCACCTGTAAGATACAGGTCATTTCATTTATCAAGAGGTTTCAAATAGGGCTGCATGAATCTACATCAACAAAAGACCCCTATACCGCTTTCACCAAAACAGAGTTCTTTCTAAGCATGCCAAAACTTATTTACGACTCAATTTCTCCAACAACAATATTATAGTAGTAGGTGAAGCCGAATAAAACACTTCCCACAAAGCTGAGATTTCTTGCAAGTTTGTAGTCAGTCCAAAGTAGGGATGAGTGAAAATGACCATCTGTTCAGCATACTGAAAGGTACCGCCAATGCATTTAACCAAAATGGTGACAACAGGCTTAAAAAGTGTAACTGCACCTTCTGCAGGGCCCGCCGCCAGTTTTCAGCTGCGCACAGGATTCCATGGAGAGCATATAGAGAATGGTCATCCCTAACTCAAAGCCTACAACTCAACTACTGTTGAAAGAAAAAGTGAGCCATGGCCTGTGCTCATTATCTTCAGAACACAAGCAGGTACAAATAAACTTGGTGAGGCAAGAGCTGTCACAGCCTCTACTCTGTGTTAGAGGCGTGAGCTCTGCGGATGACTTGGACGGACCAATGGCAGAGAGCCATTGGTCCAAGCTAAAAAAAAGGAGAAAAAAAAAAAGAGTGAGGACATCGATCTCGATGCCTCACCAGTGAAGAGCAATTGAGGGACAAGGAGGCTCCTCCCCGTCTCCTCCCTTGCTCCTCCCCACACAGCTTGGTTACCGAGCTGGGGCTTCGGTGGGACAGGGCAAGGCACGTCACTGGTTTGTTCTATGATTGGGTAGCCATAAACTCATACCAACAAACTCTACTGGTGCTCATCAAGGGGGAAGGAGGGGGTATTCGGGATCCCCCAGTTCACATTCAAATATAGTCATGCAGCAGTCACATGGAACACAGAGATAAGACAACAACTTTTTCATCTTTGACACAAAATCAGGAACGCCTCACCATAGGCCAAAGCATTGTGAACCAAAAATAAAAAAAACCTGGCAAGATTTAAAAAAACAGGCCAATGAGCTAAATATTTATTTTCAGTCAATGGAGCGTCACGTTATCTTTCGATAAAATCATAAATCAGCGAATTCTAGAAGACGTTCCAGTCTGTTACAAAGAAAAACACGTTATTAATTTGTTGTGCTGCTAATGAAAGGCACAGTGCCACTGCCAATTTGTCTGCGGTGAAGTAAACAATTAGTAGGTTGGTGTAATATTCCCTTCCCTCTGAAAAGCGGATTCCAATGAAGCTGTACTGTATCCCATACAGTCTCTGGCATGGTAACAATAGGGCATTTCTTAAACTGGCGTGTGCCCAGCCATCTTGGAAGGGGTACCGAGTCTGTGTCACAGGATCGGCGCTCACAAATCAAGACACGAGAGAATGAAAAATATGACATTAAAAAAATCCTAATGACTACAATGAAAGATCCCACCAGGCAAAAGATTAAAAGTCTTATGGAGGGCCGTCAATGTAAGATTTTGACGGAGCATGGTAATGAACCTGGTGAAGATGGGCCAATAATGATTGGCAATAGATTCTTGATCCTCTGTCTGGACAATCCAAATCAAAGTATTCCATCTTATCAGCTGTTAGCAGAGTATTAGGTGTATGTGAAAGCCGCTTCCAAAAATCCATCCACTTAAGTCATCTCGGCTATGAGTGAAGAGTTGATGGACTTGGCGTTCAATGCTTTCATATACATCCAGGAACTGTCAGCCATCTTACTGCTGACTGGTCTTATCGCTGTCTTTGTTCTATATGCTATGGGGATTAAATATGGCTGCAACCTACTTCAAAGGATTTTGTTTCGAGACCTTATAATGGACCTAGTATCAGACATACAGTTTCATCTTAATGCATCAGGAGGAGAAAAAAAAGAAACCATTAGTTGGGGCCTTCCCACACTACAAAGGTTAAGTGTGCTCTCTAAGTCTATGGGTAGAGGGATAGGCTGCAATACTTACCATATTCTGGTAGGCTTCCTCCATGCCATGCTACCGGTCCCCCCAAATCTCTTCTCTTATGCATTACAGCCAGTGGCCACACTCTGATGTCATTGTAAACTATACAGAACCAAAAGTTGTCATACGAGACGATGGCCAAGGTCCATCCACAAGGAGCATCAGAGAAGAGGGGAGTGCCGGAAGTCTTCCAAAATGAGGAATACAGCAAGTATTACATCTAAGTTTCTACCCCCTAGACTTCATGAGCAGTCACACGCTCTAAGATTCTCAAAGGGATTAAGGTCTGGACTCTGTGGTGGCCAATTCATGTGTGACAATGATGTCTCATGATCCCTGAGCCACTCTTACAATTTGATCCCGATGAATTCTGGCATTGTCATCTTGGAATATGCCCAATATGCCATCAGGAAAGAAAAATCCATTGATGGAAAAACCGGGTCATTCAATATATTCAGGGAAGCAGCTGACCTCATTTTTTGGGGGACATAACTTTGCTGAACCTAGACCTGACCATCTGAAGCAACCCCAGATCACAACACTGCCTGAAATCCATGTGGTGACTTTTTTGGGCCAGGCAGTGTACTTTTCCCTCCAGAATAAAGGCACTACCTGTTTCGAAATTATCCAGGGCCATCATCTACTTCCTGAATGGGGATGTTGGTTTAGGGATGAAACTAGGGATGCACCGATACTAGTATCGGTGCTGATGCCGAGTATTTGGGCGAGTACTCGTACTCTCCCAAATGCTCCAATGCCTAGCCCGATACTTGAGCTCCCGGTACCAGGAAGCCGGGCAGCGAGTCATTACACGCCGTCCGGCTTCCATGATTGGCCGGGAAGCTGGCTCCATGCTCTCTCATCACTTGTGACGAGGAAGCACGGAGCCAGCTTTCTGGCCAGTCAGGAAGCCGGACAGCATGTAATGACTCGCTGCCCAGCTTCCTGACTGGTCGGGAGGCTGGCCAATCAGGAAGCCGGGCACCGTGTAATGATGCAGCTTCCTGATGGGCCGGGAAGCCGGCTTCATGCTCCCTCATCACTGGGTGAAGTGGAAGCATGGAGATGGGTTCCCTGCTAATCGAGAAAGAAATGCATAAAATGCAGCAAACGGATTGCATCTCAGCCTAGGCTAAGTCACCTTAAATGGAGCTCAGGTAACTCATACAACTTTGCTACAAGTAGTATATTTCACGGCTTTACTTGAATTTCCTGTCTAAGGGTGTGAATACAATTATGTAATTTAGCATGTAAATATGTCCAATGTTAACTGGAGTTCTGATGCCGTTTTAGGAAGATGCTAAGCTTTTTTTTTTTTTTTAACGCAGTCTATTTTTTAAACCCGGGATTGGTAAAAAAAGGGTGTTCAGCGGTTTATGCATTCCTGTATTTTCTAACAATTTTATACTAGAAGTGTTTTTAAAGACCTAAGACGGAGAAAT